CATCAGGGATGTTAAATCAACACTCTTGTGCTTTGGTGATAGAATAAAAGGACCCCATGTCTTACATTCAGTGGTCAGTTACTTGTAATTACTCCATGTAGGGATTTCACAAAGACAAAGGGATATTCTGAAAGACAGGTTTTAGGTAAAAAGAACTGTTGCTACATAAACATGGTGGGCAGTCACTTGGGCATCCAAGTATGGGCATCCCTATACTGTCAGAAAACAGTTTTTAAACTTAGCATTTCAGAATTGCATAGCTAGTATTTTCAAATGACCCCCGTTTTTCTTCTGTAAACAGGTGTCTCACTTTCTTCTGTTTATTTTGTTCCATCACCACTTATCACCCCTATACACTCTTCTATCTCCACTCCCTCCCCCCGCACCTGCAATCAAAACACTGTTGTCCATGTCCATGAGTTCTTTTCTTTTTCTCTTTTGCTCAGTCTCTACCCAACAGCTTCCCCATCTGGAGCTGTCAGCCTGCTTTCTATGAGTCTGTCTCTATTTTACTTGTTAGATCAGGTTGTTCATTAGATTCTACGTATGAGTGAGATCATACGGTACTTTTTTTCTCTGACTGGCTTATTTCACTCAGCATAATGTTCTCTAGGTCCATCATACTACCTAGTATCAAACTATGCTACAAGGCCATAGTAATCAAAACAGCATGGTACTGGCAGAAAAACAGATGTATACATCAACAGAACAGAGCACCCAGAAATAAACCCATCCTTTTGTAGTCAATATTTGACAGAGGAGACAAAAATATACAATGGGTTAAAGATAGTCTATTCAATAAATGGTGGTGGGGAAGTTGGACAGAAAAATGAAACAAGACTACCTTCTTACACCACACACAAGAATAAACTCAAAATGGATTAAAGACTTAAATGTTAAGACTTGAAACTATAAAAATCCTAGAACATGGGCAAAAAAATCTCAGATATTTCTCATAGCAATACTTTTTTCTGATATATCTCTGGGCAAAGGAAACAAAAGAAAAAATAAACAAATAGGACTACATCAAACTAAAGTTTTTGCACAGCAAAGTAGACCAACAAAATGAAAAGACAGTCCACTGAATGGGAAACACGTTCCCCAAAGACATACCTGACAAGAGTTGACACCCAAAATTTATAAAGAACTTAAAGTCAACACCAACCCCCCCACAAGCCAATTTAAAAACGGGCAAAGGACCTGAACAGACTTCTCCAAAGAGGACATAGAGATGGCCAACAGACATATGAAAAGATGCTCAATGTCAGTAATTACTTTCTTCTCTTATATAACCTATAATTTTAATTACTTTTCCCAGTACCCAAATTCCCATGCCCTCTTTTTGTTACCTTTTATGCTTAAAGAATTTTGCAAACCTGTAATGCTTAATGATTCCATCTCTAAATTAATTACAGTTGAAAACATTTTCCTTATAGACACATTTGTTAAACAACTTTTTACTGGTTTAAAACCCATGTTCATTATTACCCTTTTCCTTTTTTAAAAAAAGAATTAATTTGTTGTATTAATGGGCATGCTTTAAAAATTTTTTATTAGCACTCCTATTAGGTACTTTTTGCTCTCTTTAATTGTGGGATTATGTTATCTTTCACTATTAATGAGGGGGGTCTCTATTAAAATACAAATTTTTGAATTAAATTTATATTTTTTTTCTTCTAGTTCGTCTAGGAGTACAAGTACTTCTGCTTCTCAGACTTCGATGAAAGTATTAGAGCTAAGCTTCCCAGCCTCACCTTCACTAACTGGCAGCCCTTTGAGGCCAACTAGTGCTAGCAGTAGCTCCAGTAATGGTAAAAACAAAAAGAGCAGCAAGTAAACGTTTTAATCTTTCTTTGAACAAACTATAAACACAAAAACAACCATTTCACTTTTAAAATAGAAAATTCCATTCTATGCTTTTGGGTGTGGTATAATAACATTGAGTCCTGCTGAAGTAGTGTTAGAAAATTTTGACCAGACAAGTTTTACCAGTAGAAACTAGTAGTTGAAGAATTAATATTTAGCCAAAGAAATGTTTAATTTTTTTGTCCTTTTTCCTACTACCTTTTTCACATGGAAGGAAAGCAGTAATAGCTGATTTTAATAAGACTATGTGTCATATAAGCACAGGGAAAATGATGTTTTCCCGTTATTTCTGTTATGCTAGAAAATAGTTCACTTCTTCATTATTTCAGGCTAGCCATGCAACTACATTCACTTACAATCTTTCAGGAAGACACTTTTAAAGATTCATAAAGAGTTTATACCACTACTAAAATTCTCATTTACCCTAGAAGATCCTGAAATTAAGTTTTCTTTATTCAAAGAAATATACTTCACAGACTTTCGGGGGAGAAATCTGTTAGTTTCTTCTTTGGTATAATTTAAAATTTTTTAACCAAAAAATAGCATTACCTCTCACCTCTCCACCAAGAAAACAAGTGACAGGAAAGAGACATGATGTGCATCAATAAAAATGAAGCTGAAGTTTTTAGAAATCAAAAACATTAAAGATTTTGCTATCAAAATACAAAGGACCATAAAGAATAAAGAATGTATTTTCAAAATTTTGATTTAATACAAAGAAAACTAGTATGATTTGATTTGCAATAGGAATCCTATAAATTTAGAGAGGTAGACCAATGGATATGGAATTATTTATTCTAGTTAATACTTTGTAACATGTCCCCAACAGTGAACTCTTAGAATACTGTGGAGTATGAATACAATGTAACTAGTTTTCAAATAAATGTATTAGAATCTAAATGCTTAAGTGAGTACTGTCTCCTTCAAATCGTGGGGAAAAAGTATTTATAATTGTCACTGTTTAGAACTGTCATTTGCAGTCTCTTCTGAAAGGCAATAGTGGAATTAAATCTGATCATTATTGGAAAATATTACTACTTCCAGAAATAACTAGAAATGGCATTTCCACGCCCCATGAATAAGATGGGTAAAAAAGCTGGTTAACAAGTTTTTGGCTGAAATATTATTCTAATGCATGGGATTTTATAAGATCTAAAAAGAGTAATCTTATAGTCACGTTGGAAGTTCTTATTTTCTGCCTGTATTTCTTTGTAAATTACTTCACACCTAAAATAATATTACATACTGCTGAAGACAGGGATTGTATCTTACTAGCTCTGACCTTGGGAAAGTCAGTTCTCTGTGCTTCTTTCATTTGTTACAGGGAGAGTAACAGTTACATCAAAGGTTTACTGAAATAATCAGATAATAGATACAAAATGCACATGGCCTGACACATAGGAACTGCACAATAAAATCTACCAATTATTGAGTTACCACCCAAAGCGTAGCACAATATTTGTGGCATGTTTAGGCTCTCCGGCCAACACAGAAGTCTACATTTAACTGTTAAACGGAATAACAATTCCAACTTCAATGTAACAGTGCTAAATAGTAAGGCAAGGCCCATCACCAAATCCGGAGTTGTCTTAACATCCACCTGTTGTGTCAGAAAGTCACCTACTATGGAAACCAGGACACAGCCTGGGTACATAAAAACTAGAGACATAATGATGGTAAGGAAAAAAATTGAAGGTATCATGAGGTATTCTTGACAAGTATACATCCCAAATTATTTTTTTTTGCTGAGGTGGTGTGTGTACTCTGCTTAAGTTTGTATGTCCCAGGAAAGGAGCCCTGGGCTAGATGGAATTCACACAAGCTATTGTATAAGGTACTTATGCTGATGTTTTTGGTACCCAAATATAACAGTAAGCCACAAAGATGCTCTGGGAAATTACAGTGCTGGCTGATAGTGATGCTTGAATAAATTTTATTAAATAAAAATGATGTATATAAAATTCTGAAGTTGTACTAGGAATTCTTAAGGGTCAAGGGCTCTGTCAAGAGAATTTCCCTCTTTACAAACACCACTATGTAGTGATACCAGAGCTCTTAATACACAGAAACCAGGGACTCTTTTAAGATGAATTTCTTGGTGCAAAGATAAATGTCCAAGTGACTACCTCACCTGATACTACCTATTGTTTTTGACCAGTTTCTTTCTGTTTATAGTCAATTACTATTCCACAGAGGAAGCAAGCACATACAATGGGTTAAAAATAGTTTATTCAATAAATGGTATTGGGGAAGTTGGGCAAATATGTGCAGAAAAATGAAATTAGATGACCTTCCTATACCACACACATGAATAAATTCAAAATGGATCAAAGACTTCAATGTTAGACCTGAAACCATAAAAATCACAGAAAACATAGGCAAGCAAAATCTTGGATACTGCTTGTAGCAATATGTTTTCTGATATATCTCTTCAGGCAAAAGAAACAAAGGAAAAAATAAATAGGACTACATCAAACTAAAAATGTTTTTGCACAACAAAGGAAAACAACAAAATAAAAAGACAACACAAAGAATAGGAAAACATATTCTCTGATACATCTGATAAAAGGTTAATATACAAAATTTATAAAGGACTTATAAAACTCAATACCAAAAACCAAACAACCCAATTAAAAAAATGAGCAAAGGACCTGAGTAGACAATTCTCCAAAGAGGATGTACAGACGGACAATAGACATATGAAAAAATGATCAACATCACTAATCATCAGAGAAATGCAAATTAAAACCACAAGGAGATACCATCTCACACCGGTCAGAATGGCTATCATCAATAAATCAACAAACCAGTGCTGGCAAGGATGAGGAGAAAGGAAAATCCTCTTGCACCTTTAATGGGAATGCAGACTGGTACAGCCACTGTGAAAACCAGTATAGAGATGCCTCAAAAAATTAAAAATGGATCTTCCTTTTGACCAGGCAATCCCACTTCTGAGAGTATATATACGAAGGAACCCAAAACACCAATTTGAAAGAATGTAAGCACGTATATGTACACTGCAGTATTATTTACAATCACCAAGATATGGAAGCAGCCCAAGTGTCCATTAGTAGATGAATAGATAAAACTATGGGACATTTACACAATGGAATACTTCTTGACTAAAAAAAATTTTACCCTTTGCAACAGTGTGGAGAGACCTGCAGAACATTATACTAAGTGAAATAACCCAGCCAAAGAAAAGACAAATACTGTATGATTTCACTCATATGTGGAATCTAATGAACTGAGCTAACGAGCAAAATAGAGACTGACCCATAGATGGACAGCGGGATGACAGCTAAAAGGGGTTGGGAGAGGTGAGAGGGTGGAAGGATGAAGCAAAAAGGAAAAAGGACTCATGGACATGGACAACAGTGTGGTGATTTGTGGGGAGCGGAAAGTTGGTATAAGGGCACTAAATGGTAATGGGAAAAAATACAATAAACATTTTTTTTAAAATGTTGAGTTTCTTAGTGCAAAGACTGATGTCTGAGTGACTAATTCCTCTTGCTACTACCGACGATCTTTGAGCAGTTTCTTTCTGTTGCATTGCCAAAAGCTTTAGCTGAATCATTAGGCTCCATCACTGAAGTCAGAAGGTCACAAACAGCACATACCCAGTTATACTAGAAAGTTTTGGTATTTTACTATTGGCAAGAATAGTGAGACAGAACAAGGACTGAAAGTGCCTTCCTCCTCCATCATACTCAGACCTTTGTAGATGGATACTCACCTATCCCCCAACCTATCCATCCAGTGTCATCATGAATGATAATCTTAAAGGCCCATTAATTGGAAAGATTCTAAAGGCCATCATAAACACAATACCTATCACTCCTATCTGTATCTCCCAAATAATAAACTCTACTGCTTTCAATAATCTGGAGAGTATCCATACAACCCAAGTTCTGTCTTCAGCTCCAGTTGCTGAAAATTTCTTCTAATAAATCCACGCTTTGTTGGCCTAGTCATTTATTTGAACTCTGAGAAAAGAGGCATTGAGGAAGCATCGGGGGGAGGAGGTGTCAAGGAAGAAAAGTCAAAGTGCAGGCCAGCTCTAGGCTATTTAAAAACATGACCAGTGTGTTCCAAATGGGACATGTACAATACTAGGAGTTCCTAGTTTTCTTTCTTGCTAGAGAAAAGTCAGATTTATAGTATGCTTTTCTTGCCACTATCTGCTTTTGCTAAAGTATTGTTTTCTATTATGATCCATTCTTGCCTAGAATGTAGTCTCTAAAGTCTTGCCAATATTTTAAAAAATTTCTTAGGGCTACACTGCTAAGCAATAAGGCAGGTAGGTAGATAAATAGAAAGGGAGGGGGAGAGTGGGAGGTAGTGGATGGAGTAAGGGGGGGGGGGAGAAGGAAGGGAATAGGGAGGGGGAGAGGGAGAAACAAAAAGAAAGGAAAAAAGAAAAGAGGAAATGGACCCCTATTCAATTTTCATGCTTTATTCCTAAGGTATTTGTTAAGCTGGTACAGTCTTTTTTTAATTGAATCTGGCTTTAGAGGCCAATTAGACAAGATAATCTGTGTACCATTTTAAAAGTTAGTAAAAAATTAATAGAGTATTATTTAAAGAATATTTAAATGTATCTTTCAAAGCTGAGGGCTTTTACTTTAACAGAGAGGAGAATTAAATCATTTTTGATGACAACAACCCAAATGTTCAGTTCACAAATTTAATTTTCTCAAACAGCAGGATAAGGTAGATTCAAGGAATTCTCACATACCATAATACAATTAAGAAACACTTAGAGAATTATCTTGAAATTTAAGTCATCAAAGAAATACTATACTTAAACATATATATGAAAGCCTACAAATCAAGCTGTGAAAGAAGACCAACTAAAACAAATATATGACAATAACTAAAAATCATTTGCTTTCTTCAATCTCTACAAATAATTTTAGAACAACAGATTTCTGCACTGGACTATTTTAACTAAAAGACCCAAAACTTATTAACAGCCTTTAGATAATAGTGCTGATTCCCTTGGCATATTAATTTTTTTGCTTATTTCCTTTTTCTTTCTCAAATGCAGCTATCTGATTAAATATATTAAGTAAATTCTGAGGTAAATTTTTTTTAACTCCACTTTCTGAATGCTCTTTGCTATGTACCTCATCTTTTTCTGGAACCTCTGTTTTAATATCCTCCTCATAATTATCCTCTCTTCCATATTCTCTATGATTTTTACTTAACTGGTATCTTTGCTCATGTCTACTGAAATCACGTGATCCAGAGTATTTTTTATATTTTTCAACAGACTTGGAAGAGTAGTCTGAGCTTGCTGGTGAAGTGGAATACCTCACAGAACCTGGCTCCCATTTTCTATGGTGCTCTTTTCTTCCCTCTATATCTTTTTCACTTTTTCTGTAACCATAATTTTTTAACTTGTCTTCTGGATTCTTAGAGAAGGAATCTGAAGAATCTCTTCTACTGGAAAAATGTCTTTCATATTTATATGGTTTTTCTGTTTTGCTACTACTTGCTTGAGTTTTATCGGTATTATAAAAACCTCTTGGATCTTCAGACCTACCTCCAAAATCATCCGGAATCTCAACTGATGACGAAGAGAAAGGACATCTATCTTTCTCTTTTGCCTGCTTCTTTTCAGATGGTACCCTATCTTGCTTTTCCAGTAGTTTTTCCATTTCTTGTCTTTGGTTAAGAAAAGATGCTGATGTATTGGCTGGAACTGGGAAGTACTCATCTTTCCTAGTCTCATCTATCTGATTTGAGGATGCCTTAGCTGAATGCCTTTTGGAACTTCGAGAAGACTCTGAACGGTTCCTCTTATGTTTCTTATGCCGTTTGTGACCAGAAGAGGAAGAAGATGATGAAGAAGAAACGGATTCATCACCAGAAGAAACACTTGAAGAAGAAGTTGATTTTCTTCTTTTCTTCTTTAGCCTAAAAAAGTAGTTAATTCATCAAAAGTTAAGCACACAAATGTTTCCTAATTATCCATATGTATTTTAGTTCTGTTTTGTTTCTCTTAAAGATTTCATAAAAGCTGTGGCTTAGATAGGCAATTGTAATAATCTTAGTTATTATAAGATCCAATTTTACCATCAAGCACTACTTTTGGAGGGAAATACTTGTGTAGACAATTGTCACTCTAAGTAAATCCACTTCTACAAGACACAGTGACATTTCCAACATTACCATAAAAACAAGACCACCTTCACCCACAAAAGAGAATTAAAATTTTACACCTGGGTACTCTAAAGCATAGACTGTCTCTCCACCTCAGCACTACTAACATTTGTTGGAGTCCAGGGTGGCAGTGTGGTGGGAGGAGGTCCTACGAAATCACTGTAGGGTATCTAGCAGCACCCCTGACCTCTGCCCCCTAGACAGTACTCCACTAGTACGAAAACCAGCAACGTCCCCCAGGGGACAAAATTGCCCCCAGTTGAGACCCACTGCTCTATGTCGAAAACTTTTCGCCCTAAAATAGATAATGAAAGTAACATTACATATTTTAAATTTAAAGCTAATTCTCCCCCAACCCAAGATTTTCAGCCTTAGAATTCCACTTTCCTTAATCGCTCATAAAAAAGTTTATGGTACTTGTAATTTTCAGAGTAACTGGTTATAATTTGAAATACTTTTGTATATTTTTACTTACTTTACCTCCGTATGGCACTGTGTTTCAACTCAGTAGTTGCTTTAAATTAAAAAATACTAAATATTATAGTTTACCTTTTCTCTTCTTTTAAAAGCTTACGCAACTTTTCTGCACTTGTTTCTATTTTCTTTGTTTTCTGCTTTTCTTCCTTTTCAGCTTGTTTTTCTCTTAATTCCAAAGATTTCTTTTAGAACCCAGATATCGGAAAAAACCACACGTTAAAAATAGCAGAATATATAAAACCCAATTTTTCAAAAAACCATCCCCCGACCAGAAACCAAATGTGGCATGCCCAAATAACCATATATCCAGCATTAAACAAGTATTTTTAACATAGAAAAATTAATCATACAGGTGTTTGGCATTAATCATTGGAATAGCCAGAACAGTTTTGAGGACCATATTGCAGTTGGTATTCCATAAAAAAGGGGAAGAAGCCATTGCATTGGTACCCATAACCCAGAGTGCAAGAAAGGGGAAAAAATAAGTAAAAATTATTTTTTAAAATTGAAAAATTTAAACAGTATACAGATTTTTATAAATAAAATTTCAATAATTTCCATTAAGGTGAATTGAGGGGAAATCACCACGTTCAAATACAAACCATTTAAAAAATAGCACAGCCCAGTTGAACGCATGATTACGTAAGATATCATTTTCCAGTGTGAGGATGGGGATGAGCAGCACCAGATGTCACAGACACAGCAGCAACGGTCCAATTCAGAAGAAAATGCATGAGAAAACATCATCATCAGTATTACAGGAAAAGACAGTTTAAAATATCTCTCAAAAAGATTTTTAGAATTAGTTCAATTACAGTAACATCACTGAATTTTTTAACCACCAGGAAAGCTCACATACCAAATCTAGGTAATCAGAATTTTCTCATAGAGTTATTTTTACTTTTGAGTACTAACAAATAAAAAGAGGCATTATGAAGCAATGTGAAAACTAATTAGGAAAATCTGTACCTAAAAAGAAACCTTTCATAATGCCTTAAGTAATCTAAGACAGTTTTCCACAGAAGAAAGTTAAGTTTTGGCATTAATTTCAAGTATTACTAAATTTCTAAGAGGAAATAAAGAATCACCTGCATATATTTATGAAGCTTTTGTAAAGCATCCTCTGCATCTTTAAAAGTGCCATCCAAATCCAAAGCTTTCTTATAGTAACTTTCTGCATTTAAAAACTTTTCTTCTTCTTCTAACCTAAATTTGAGAGGAAGATTTAGCTTTTTTTGCAAAAACGGAAGTATTCCAACATACATACAAATCAGAGGCTTTATGAGAAAACTTAATAGGAAAAGACTGTGTTTAGCTAATTATTTTCCAAATTGAACAGTACTTAACCATAAGCTTTTAACTACTATTTCTTTGATTAAAAAGCCATGTAAAACCACATAAAATATAACAAAATAAAACCCAACTCACAGATATAGGGAACAAATTGGTGGTTCCCAGAGGCAGGGATAGGGGGTAAATGAAAGGGGTGAAAATGGTCAAAAAGTAAAAACTTTCAGTTACAAGAATAAATAAGTCTTGGGGATGTAATGTACAGCATGGTGACTTAGTTGATAATACTGTACTGTATACTTAAAAGCTGCTAAAATAATCTTAACAGTTCTCACCACAATAAAGAAAATAATCTGCAACTATGTGTGGTGATGGATGTTACCTATACTTGTGGTGATCACTTTGCAATACATACATAGGATTTTAAACCATTGTGTTGTACACCTGAAAGTAATATAATGTTATATGTCAATTACATATCAATTTGAACAAAATAAACTCCAAAATAAAAAATCAAACAGGACTCCATTACTGGTAATTAAAGCCATGCTGCAGGTCCAGCACTGGCATTTTAGTATAATGCATTTCAACACACATCAACTAATATCCTCTAATAATTATAGTATGATCTTGAGCTTTAGCACAGAATTGAATAGGCTGACTTTTCCTAGTAGTTTATGAAGAATTTTCCTTTCAATAGAAATATTTTCCCAGCTTATTTACTGTTAAAGTTGCAAATATCAACATATAACAGGTACATCACAACTAGTCTGCAGATAAGATCCTTATCAGTTGATGCTTAAAAGTCCATGCTATGAAAAATCAGAATTAGAAAATTAGAATATAGGGTAGGGAGAGGATTTTGCAAAATATTTTCAGTTTTTAAAAAGTAGGAAAAAGCAATTACTGTAAAACAAATTAAGAAAACCCCAATGGCTTCAGCAGGGTAACTTCTGTGTCAGATGGGGTGGGGAGTAAAGGACTTGTCAAAGACGATCAACATTTAAGGCCTGGGTAGGTGGTGGTGGCATTCACTTATTAAAAGACATCAATACATAGGTTTGATTCTGGTATGGTCATACAAACTGGAATGATCAAATTCATGAAAAAGATAATTCTATTTTTAAAAATTTATAGTAAAATGATGGTATTAATTATGAACTGGTTTTTAATTATTAACCAGGCTGTCAGCAAATTCTTTATAAGTATATTTCCTCAAAAATATTTTATAAATTAGTCAATTAGTCATTAAGTATTTATGGTACAACTACTAGGCAAGGTATTATGCCAGCATCTCAGGACAGTAACAAAAGTTACATTGTTCTCAATGATTTGATCTTCCATTTAACGAGTTTGTGGATTCTTCTGGACAGAGTACAGCAATAAACTGAATATAACAGTGAAATTTCACTCATAATCAACAGGAAGTCTCAATTCATATTTCTGCCATTCTTCCACCAAAATGATGAAATGAATTAGAAATTAAATTCCTCTCTATTAAAACTTCTAGTGTGTGTCCTGGAAAAGGATATTTACCTAATTTTTTGTACTTTTATATTTATATTTCTATGTAATGAGAACAGATATTCAGAACAATAAACTCAAGTCACTAAAATATCTCCAATTAGAAAGAACCTTAGTAATAAGCAAAAACCCCCAGAAAATTAAGAGGACCACATTTAAAAAACATTTTCAACTAAGAGTGAAACTAAGACTGTTCTGAATTAAGTGAGTTAAAAATGTTCTTTCCTTATGTTAAGTTCAAGATTTTACAGTAGTTGGTTGGACATTAGATCTCTGCTATCAAACAAAATTTGACACTTACTGCCCTCCTCTTTCTACAAGTGTCTGGCAGAGGTATTTTCTTGCATTCCTATGAGTTGGACAGTTTTCCAATGCAAGCTCAAAATCTTCTATTGCTTTGTTCAGACTTCCTTTTGTTGCATATCTAGAGATATGAAACAATTAGGAGTTTATCTTGTAGGCCATTCATAAATCTTGTACATTCACCTTGTAAATTATTCATTAAAATCCATGATCCACTTACAATGCTCCTCGGGCTACCAAAGCTTCCACATTTTGTTTGTCTATTTCCAAAGCCTTATTGTATTCATTCATAGCATCCACATGGCGCCCAACCTTAAAATAATCAACTCCAATCTTCACACTAAAAAGGTATTTGTAAAGCATCACAAACATTTCAGAGAATAATCAAACAAAATGTTAGCATGGATAAAATTTTAAAGCAAATAGAATTTGGCTAATATTTAATCTTCCATACTCTCCATATATCTAAGAAGCACTCTGCCTTTGGATAATATTGTAACAAATTTTATGAAATCCACATATCAATATACTAATTCCTTTTGAAAAAAAATTTAATGTTGGCTAAAACTTAAGTGCGTTAAGTTTACAACATAACAGCATTTATACCTATAAGAAAGTTAATGTAAAAAACTCACTTTAATTCATTTATAAACAAATTTGGTCTTGATGACATGAAAATTCTTGTCTTACCCTAACCTTTTAAGTTACATAATGCAATTGTTAAAAGAAAAAATCTTCATACCATTTTAAAGCCCAAGATGCAGACTGTTTCTTTCTTAATGCAGAAGCAAAGTCATCTTCAGAGAAATTTTTGCTATTAAAGAAAACAAAAGTCAAACTGTATGTTTGTGTAAATACATTTGTGTAACTACAGTTCACTCTGACAGATAATAAAAACTCAACACTGAAAAAGTGAATCCCCAGAAAGTAAGAAATTTGTATACCATGTACATACACACACAACTTTTGAACTCTCAGGAATAATTATTATCCTTTTTTTAAAAAATACTTCAGTAGTACCCAACCACTAATCATTTTCCATATATGTCATATTGTTTAAGTCCTCTGCACTGCTATTTTTGTCTTATATACTTCGACTTACACTTTTTTAAAAAAAGATTTTCTTTATTTTTAGAGAGGGAAGGGAGGGAGAAAGAGGGAGAGAAACATCAATGTGTGGCTCAGGCATGTGCCATGGCTGGGAAGCTAACTGGCAACCCTTTGGTTTGCAGGCCAGCATTCAATCTACTGAGCCACACTAGCCAGGGGAGGAGTAAATATTATTCTTAAACATTATTTTTCTTTAGCATATACATAAAATTCCTATAAATTTTCTAAATATTTCTCTGTTCACATGGTACACATCTATCACTGAAAAGAGACTTAATTTCAGGAGACAGATCACCTAGTTCATTCAACCTTTGTCACACTGCTGCCACTAGGCATAGTACAGTCAAGTATGTCCCTCAGTTATGTAACTTCTGAGCTCACACCATTCACCTTACCACTTTGTTAACAGAGTAACACTGATTTACTATACCTTTGTAGGCCTCTCATTAAAGATGGTGGATTAGATTCATCTATTCCTAGTTTTCCTAGAAGGAATTCAACTACTCCTGGATTAACAAATCCCAAGGAACTTTGCATGATATTATCGTAGGATTCCAAAGAATTGCTATTTAGTTCAACACTCCTCCTAAAAAACAAATGAACAAACAAAACAGACACACAAAATATAAAAATGATTATCATAATTAGCATATCCCATTTCTGTTAACGAAATAATATCACAAGAGATTTAAATATTCGTATTATTTTTATACACGTAGGTGTGGCAACATCATGCCTTGGTTCCTTTTATCAAGTTGGAAGAAATTTAAGGGTTATAAAAATACACTGAGCATACTGTGAAATAAGAGAAATTAAAATTCTACTTTGCTGTTAGAAGGTGGACAAAATTTGCTATTTTTTAGTCAAGAAACTGTTTTGCAATTAATTGTTGTTGAAATAATGTGGATAAATTACCTGTAATACAAAGGAAGTTCTTCAGAACTAATTACACCTAATTTAATACCCGATAGGTGTGGTGGAAGAGATGAGTTATAGAGAGATACTGCAAGCTTTTCATGGTATCTGTCAATATCCTTGATTCCAGCTTAAAAAAAAATAAAACCAAGCTGATTACAAAGACAATGTACCCCCCCATCCTTGTTTCAAACACTATTCTTATTAAACTACATTTTCAAAATAAAAACAAAAATTGTAACAACCGTTACTTTTTTATTAATATGATGAAACTGATCACCTCGAATGATATCACCAGTCTGGTAATACGATAAAGGGTCCCCATGGTTACTGTGAGAAGGCACATCTCTTAACGGACAAAGAGCCTGCAATGAGAAGCATTTTAAAACATAGGGCATTTCATTCTTTGGTGATAAGGGTCTTCTTTTATCCTAGTTGTTCAGCATAAACAGCTAATAGTTGACATAATCTTAAAAAATCAACAAGCACCCTAAAGTCTAAATTTAAGTAAGGATTTTAATTGTAAAAGATTTCTGTGCTCAAACACAATTGAACAAGTTTTTTTATTTAGTTCAAAAACCAAAATCTCATGAAACTTGCAATTAATTTTAGAAATCAAATACACTGTAAGTATGGATGGGGAAAAAAGATATTTTGCATTTGTTAAAAATGAAACAAATTTTTCAAGTATGAGAATTCCAATGACAATGAAATGTGAATTCTCCAAATTGTATGTCTGTTATCCAGTCTGTGTTACCTTCTGCTTTTCTTCCTTTTCATCTGCCTTGATAGACAGCAAATATCAAATCCTTTAAAGTGACACAGTTCAAAATCAGGACTAGTCATCTCAAGCAAAGTATCTTATAATGTACAAATCACATTTGATCACTGTATAAGTAGGCTATAAATTTATTTCTAAATTACCCATATGCAAGTATCTAATGCCAAATACTAAATAATTAAAAACAGGTTCAGCTAGGAAAAAATAAGCCCCAAATACCAATCAATCTCACCATACCAACTGAGATCTCTTTAACATTTGAAAAAGGACCCCACCCCTGCCAAACAAGGGGACAAAAAAAACCAAACCAGAAATGGATAAATAACTCTATCACCACTAATGATTTTTGTAAAAAAGAAAAAGTTACCCTATTTTTCTTCAATTAAAATATTTAATTCTCCAAACTGTCAGTATGGTATACTTAAGCACAACTGGATGCAAAGACTAACTCTTGTACTGAAGTGACTATCAAAAAACAGAAGCAATCAAATAACAGAAAAGTAACTTACTGTGATTTCTAAGTGAGATATGTCTCTCATGATGCCACTGCCTAAACAAATCAACACCATGAAAAACCCAAATTCCCGAATGGAACTTATTCTTCCAATCACTATATCTCCACGCTCTATATCTCGAAAAAACAGCTCTCTCCGATCCATACTAGGTATTTCCATGAACTGCTCTAAAGGTGGCATGACTGCATAAGAATCTGGAAAAATAATTAACAAAATTACTAACCATGGTTTTGTGTTCTGCTTTATCTTAAGTGCTGTTAAACTAACCGCAATGAAAATATTTCAAGACTCAACTCACCTTCATTGTCTTCATTAACTTCAGATGCTGCAGGCGCATCTGATTTCCATGAAAGTGCAAAGAGAAGATCCGCTTTTTTGGAAATGAATTTTTGTATTTCAACGTTGTCGACTCTCTTCTCTTTTCTTAAAAAAAAAATTTACGAAAACTGGTTTACTTGCAAAACCTTTTAGCACATCCAAGCTTCTGCTTTCATCGTCCAATCGGGTCCATCCTAAGCTCGAGCCCATACATTCTCCAAGAAAAAGTTTAACCAGGGATTCCCTCATTCACCAGTCTGTAGTTGTTAAAAAGGGACGCCCGCAGCACCACATGCGAAAGCCCAAGAGAGTTTTGGCTAAAGAGTTGCCTTTGCCATCCAATTATTAGAGAAAAAGTTCAGCCCAAACCCATCATTGCCCCCAAACAAGAAGCGCGTACCCTCCTCCATCCAGCCCTCTGCACTAGCGCGTCTTAACGTGCTCAACCCGACAGCTCCGCCGCTTCAGGACTCATCCGCCTGGCTGCAGTAGTGAAGCGCCGAGTTGGGTCCCCTCCCCCGTCTGGCAGCCACGCTGCCGTCCCATTACCTGGCCTGCAACGGCTGCTGCAGCGGCAGTCCCCGGGCTGACTCGGCAGCCGACCCCAGGAGGCTCCGGAAGTGCGGATTATCCAGCTGTTCGCTACGGAGCAGGGACAGCAAAGACGGCCCGTGGTAATTCAGTGACTGCCGCAGAAGGTCCCGGTCCATGGTTAGAGATTACAGGGCTCAAATATGTGGACTTCTAGCTCCCTGGGTCCGTAACCCACCCAGGTGAGTGCCCACTACTTTAGCTCCGAGGTCCCAGAGACTGAGCAATCAGCGAGAAAGCCGCCGGAAGCACACAACTCGGACACGTAGGGTGGCCTTCCGGAAGTATTCTTGTGCCGCTTGTGCGTCGGCGCCCGAGAGTCAGTCTCGCGAAACGGAGTGAGACTACGGAAGCCTGAATGTTTGAGCCAAGCATTTCCTGAGTTAGGGGCTGGTTATGGCATCCAGATAGTAGTGTGTGTAAGTTGACTTTTAAAAAATTTCCCTGGTGTTATTCTTACATTGCAATGGCCCGAGCTTTAATCTAGGAAAAATAGTAACTCATCCTTTAATTTAGTGAGACGCATGTAAGTATCAGTGCCCCAAACTGGTGAGAACTCCGTACGAGTTACAAAGGCTTTCCCCTCAAAGTACTGATTGGATAAATCACTGGCTACGTCTCAGGCCTGAGCACACCAGAACGACTGCTTGGTAGGCTAGATGTCAGAAGTAAAGAAGAACAAGAACATCCCTTATGCACTGGAATTGTGTTCTCCATCCGTAACCCTATTCACTGTTAGTTATTTTGGCGTTAACTTAAAACTATGATAGCTTTAATGCCTGGATATATGCTTTATTTTTTCTTTTATCTAAGTGGGTTCTGAAAATTCAGTGCCCATGAGATCTACTGTATGATGTTGCATACACTAAAGTCAATATACCGTACATATGGGTAATTCAAGTCATTTTCCAAAGGTAGTTGCCACTTAGGCTTTTTTTCTCTGTTAGTATTGACTGGAGAACCTAACCACTGTATTTCATATACTCTCATGTAAGAGACTGAGGAAACAGGCCCAGAGAATCTTGGTAAATTGATCAATGTCATGCTGGTAAAAGGCAGAGTTAGGATTCTATCTTGGCCTTAGACTCCTGACAGGCAGAGTTGCTGGAGAGAGTATATTTATCATAAAGAAGGACCAACTTTAATTTTGAGAACAAGTTTCATTTCAGTATAAATTTGTTTTATTTTAATATATTAAAATCTGTACCACTAACTATGTGTAATTTAGTATAGTACTCTTGAACAAAAATAAATGGTAGCAATTAATCTGCCCCCTCTCCAGCTACATGTCTGTGGGGAGATCAATCATCCTTTCACTGTTTCAGCACCTGGATAGAAGACCCATCCCGGAATCTAGTGTATGCTGTCACACCACTTTGTGAAAAATCCTGGCAAATAGGTAAACATGAATAAGACGAGAAAATACAACAAAGAAGAATGCAAGTTTAGAAGATAATAAATAAGCTGTTATGGGTTCATCAGAAAAGTTTAATCAGTGGTACAGACTGATTTGTGTTAGACTGTAGCTACGGAGAATGGCTGTTCTTAGGAAGGAAGGTGCTGTCATTGAAAGGGAAGGTCAGTTACTAAGAAGGAACTGTATACCCATTCTGGTAAATGAGATATGTAATTTTAGTTAGAGTTGATCTTTTACTAAGGATCTAATTATCTCTGGAGGAACTCAGAATCTCAGTATCTCAGAACCGGATGGCAGATGGTGGCATTCACCTGCCCTGAGAATGCTACCTTGTGAGGCCATTCTTAAGTAGTTCATGCCTTCACCACTATGGGATATGTCTACTTTTTTCCTAATTCCAACACCAGAGTAACATTCAACCATGGCCTGTATCTTGACCATCTAAAATTGTTGTGATATGGCCATGAAAGAAGGAGAAAGTAGCTGCTCCAAGAGGGGTAAGCAGCATTCAGCAGGAGTGACATTTGTTGAACATTTTCTGTATACATAGTAATGACCAAAAAATAAAACAAAACAATACAAAACCTTCAAGCAGGTGTAATAAAAACACGAGCTGTTAAAAAAAAAAAAAAACTCTGGTTATTGCTTTCCTTAAACAGAAGTAGTCATAGTACTTAAGTACCAGAGGCAACCTTTTTCTTCATTTCCCAAATACAAATTCCATGTGAGTGGATTACACCTTTTACACCTACAGGTGATTAAGAGTTCATTTTCTGCTGGGAAAGATACCCGTTGGCTTTGAAGAGGACAGAGTTTTGGATCTTTGAGGGAGAACCACAGGGAGTGAGGAGAGAAAGTGAGGGGACTAGTTTTGCTTCTCAGAGAAACCAGTCCTACCTATGGGGCTTCCTGAAGTGAAGATAGAAAGAAAACACTTTCTTTACCTTCTTGCTGTAATTTTTGTTTACTAGTTTGACCTTTAAAAAACTTTTCTAAATAACTTTGTTAGATTAAGCAGCATTAATAATTAAGTGAATATCTGTGAGGGAAGAAAGGTCAGGGCACTCAAGAAGTCAGATCTTTGGTGTCTGGGACTTGGGACTATTTTTATTATGATGTCAAATTTCACTTCTAAATAAACACATATACATCTTTTTAAAATACTTTCCAGGACCTGGACATATAAAGATGAAGAAAACCCCAGCTGATTCTTGAGCAACAAGACTCCAATAGAGAAGCAGATATAAGAAGAAACACATAGGGCACAGTGGTAAGACAATTATTGTAGACACCTACTAAGCCCTGCCTAGATTCCTTTTTGAAGGAAAAATGAGAGGTGAGGTATAGTGGAAGTTGATGTGGATAAGAGAGGAGAAGAGGAGGCAAGTATGTGCACTTCAGGAAAATGGAGCAATGTCATTAAAGAAGTAGAGATATGAAAAACAAGCTGTATTTTAGAGACTGCAAGTGTGAGAGGGAGGTAGACAGGAGCATTTTGGTTATGGGTGTATGAATTATATAAGCATGTCATTTCAGGTAGGTTATAGATTGGTTAGAAGAGACCCCTCTGTCTCCTCTGTGAGAGTATACACAGAGAGAGAGATTAAATGTCTGATTTATTTAGTAAAGGCCACAAAAACTTAGCTGAAGCAAGGTAGCCACATAAAGCAGGGGCAGAACATGTCTCAAAGTAGCTTTTCTTGGATCCCCCAGGTTTCCCAAAATAACACATACAGCTGCCAATGACATCATATGCAAAAGATAAAGTCTATCTGGATCTCAGAAACTTGCATATTATCATTCGGGAAGGACTTCCACAGATAATCTATGACTATATAAGAAATATTTATAGACAGAGTTTTCTTGGTTCTTGACCTTGATATAAGCAATTTCAACAAAACCCCACCTCCTCTCTGTACCTAGGGTGAAGGGTGGGTTGTGTGTATCAGGAAAGTGTGAATAGAACTGGTTAAGACCCTAGGGATATATTCATACCCCCCCTCTTTTTTTTATCTTGAAAAAATCCTCTTTTGTTTTTAAGTCAGATTGAGTAAATTTATGGTTTGGAACCAAAAACATCTTAACTAGTACATTAACAAGTCACCAACTAGTGCCTCTGCTCCTTCAGTTTAAAAGGTGAACAAATAGATATGGGGAGGTTTATAATTTGTTCAAAAACTAACTTTAGAAACCACATAATTTTCCTATGTATCTAGTACTCTTCCTCCATGCCATATGGTTTAAAGAGGGTAGGCTGAAACCATGTTCTTTAAGATGTAGTTTGTAAATATATATGCAACTTATTTTAAAAATATCTATTATTATGTTAACATCTAAAGATATCCTTGAACCATTTTCTGAAAGTGGGTACTCTTGATTTCATTCATAAGCACATGGTGCAAGAGGTTTAGATTACGGATTTGCTACCATCTAAGTTTTGTTCTGTTCAAAGCTCTATTCAGAGTCCCCTGAGTTGACTCGAAGAAAAATGAAGAATACCGAATGGAAAGGATGGCTAGGTCAGCCAAAAATCCATCCTCATTATTAAAGAAATAATTTGAACTGTGAGCTCTTCTGATAAGGATTGGTGTATATTCATTCAACAGTCTTTGTTTTAAGGGATTCCACCAGCTTCTCTTTTTATTTTTCATATCATAGACCAAAACCTCAAGAGAAAAACATCATCAATTTAATATTTATCCACTTGAGGGTGCTATAAGATCATGTGGGTATCAAATTTTCTACTGTTTACCAGAAAACCTACTGCCAACTAAACAAGGATTCAAGGGTTCAACTAAATCTGTCATATAGAGTCATATTAAGATAATTGTTTCTCTCTTACACCTCTATTGTTTTTAGTTACCTGTAAAATGTTTTGAGGATATTATTTTAATATAAATCAGTTCATTTTCATTGTTTAGGATTGATTAGCTCAGTAATTTTGAATTAATTTTTCCAAGAGGAAAGATCACTGACTTCAGTTCTAATTGAGGGCAGTTAGTGCTGAACAGACCCAGAGGTGAACACTGTAAAATCTTAGGGCAGAGCATGTGTGGGGTTGTTGGTGCGTTTACATCATAATCCATATACAATGTACCCGGCACTCCCAGAGATGTGCGATGCTTGACTATACACTCTGGCCACCTGCAGTGCTATTCTCAGCCAGCCATTTTCCCCATGTTTTTCTTTGTTTCAATAAAGGACTTGCATATAGAAGGAGGATATTTTAGAACAAATCCATTATGATTGTTGAAAAATACAAGTTAAAGACATGTGTGATGCTGACATGGAATAGGTCAGAGTACTTATTTCAAGTACTTTGTCATGACTGCTTAGAAAGATTTAAACATACATGTTTCTTAGATTCCTATTTTGTGGCCATGTCCCAGAATACTATTGTCAGGGAACATGTCAACATTATAACCAGGAAAAATTGACACTTTAATTGATGCTAAATAAATCGTATTTCTTGTCACTACATTCTAGATTAGTCTGATACTCATTTTTAATCCAATTTGGACATTCCTTAAAAAAAAGAGTGATTGATTATCTTTTTATTATTAAACAGTAACTTTTTAATTTTATTGATGACAGAACCAGAGGAGAATTTCAGAGACCGGAAACTTATTATTTGTTTAGTATATAGTCCTTCTCCATTTGCTGGAAAATCCAGCAAATCTGGGTAAAGATTGAACTTTGATCCTATTCACTTTAGGTATGACATTTTATTAATGGTAGACACAAAGTTGTCAAGTTTCCAAATGCAATTGATTTAATGAATTAATTTATTCAGCAAATATTTGTTGAGGGTTAGGCATTGTTTCAGATGTTAGGGATAAAATAGAAAAAAAAATTCACCAAGATTATTGCCTTCAGGAACCTTATGTTCTGGTGGAGGGAGACAGACTCAAGCAATAAAAATAATAAGTGAAAGACATAGTATATTAGAAGGTGATAAATCCTATAGGAAAAGAGGTAAATCTGGGTAAGGGCTATTGGAAGGACAGAAGTTGGGTGTAGTAGTTTTAAAATAGAATGCTCAGGGACCATCTCATTGAGAAGTGAGCAAAAACTTGAAGGAGATGAAGGAATTAATCATTCATCCTATTTTGGAGAAAAGGGTTCCTGGCAGAGGGAAAAGTCAGTACAGAGGTCCTAAGGCAGAAAGGTACTTGATGTATTGAGGAACAGCAAGGAAGACTGTGGCAAGAACAGAGTAAGCACAGAAGTGCAGGGTTTGTAGGCTATTGGAACTTGGCTTTTACTCTTTTTTTTTTTGCACCCCTCTTTTCCCTTCCCTATTCCCCCACATCCCCAAACCTTAGTTCATATCCATGGGTTGTATATATAAGTTCTTTGGCTTCTCTGTTTCCTATACTATTCTTAACCTCCCCACCCCATCAATTTTATTCCTACCAATTATGCTTCTTATTCCCTATACCTCCCCCCATTCTTCCCCTCCCCATCCCCACTAATAGCTGTCCATTTGATCTCCATTTCTGTGATCTTATTCCTGTTCTAGTTGATTGCTTAGTTTTTGTTTTTGTTTTTTTAGGTGCAGTTGTTGATAGTTATGAGATTATTGTCATTTTACTGTTCATATTTTTTATCTTCTTTTTCTTAGATAAATTCCTTTAACATTTCATATAATAAGGGCTTGGTAATGATGAACTTCTTTAACTTTACCTTATCTGGGAAGCACTTTATCTGCCATTCCATTCTAACTGATAGCTTTGCGGGATAGAATAATCTTGGATGTAGGTCCTTGCTTTTCATGACTTTGAATACTTCTTTCCAGCCCCTTCTTGCCTATAAGATTTCTTTTGCAAAATCTGCTGATAGTCTTATGGGAATTGCTTTGTAAGTAACTGTCTCCTTTCCTCTTGCTGCTTTTAAGATTCCCTGTTTATCTTTAATCTTGGATAAGCTAACTATGATGTGCCTTGGTGTGTTCCTCCTTGGGTCCCATTTTTTGGGGATTCCCTGGGCTTCCTGGACTTCCTGAAAGTCTATTTTCTCCAACAGATTGGGGAAGTTCTCCTTCATTATTTCTTCAAATAAATTTTCAATTTCTTGCTCTTGTTCTTCTCCTGGTACCCTTATGATTCAGATATTAGAGCACTTAAAGTTTTCCCATAGGTTCCTAAGCCTCTCCTTATTTTTTTGAATTCTTGTTTCTTCATTCTGTTCCAATTGGATGTTTATTTCTTCCTTCTGCTCCAAATTGTTGATTTGAGTCCTGGTTTCCTTCCCTTCACTGTTGGTTCATTGTATATTTTACTTTATTTCACTTTGGGTAGCCTTCATTTCTTCCTTCATTTTGCAACTGAGCTCAATCAGTTCTTTGACCATCCTGATTACCAGTGTTGAACTCTGCTCACATAGGTTGTCTATCTCCTCATTGCTTTGCTCTTTTTCTGGAGTTTTGGTCTGTTCTTTCATTTGAGCCATATTTTGTGTTGGTGCATCTGTTATGCTGTAAGGGGGCAGAGCCTTAGGAATTCGCTGGGGTGGGGCAACCCTCTTTGCTGTGTTGTGGCACTGTCTGTGGGTGAGAAGTCAGATAGGGAACAATGCTGCTTGCTTGCTTGCTCCACTCTAGCCCCACTTTCCAATGAACTCTCCTGTGAGAATGGGGGTTTCCCCCACTGTCACAACCCCTGCAGTATTGTACAGTTAGTTTTGAGCCTTTACTTTCCCATTCAGCCAGCCCCACCTTGCCTGTGTTGTCCCCACCTCACTGGGTCCTCTGTGCTTGGCTGCCCATCTCCCATTTCCTATCTCCCATCTCCCGTCTCTGATCTCCACCCCTCCTACTGGTCTGGGTGAATGTTTCTTTAACTCCTTGGTTGCTGGACTTCCATGCAGTTTGATTTTCTGGCACTCCTAGTTTACTGTTTTTAAATTGCTTGTTACCCTTCCTTTGGTTGTGTGAGGAAGCAAAGCAAAGCATTTCTACCTATGACTCCATCTTGGCCAGAATTCTGTGCATCAGTTAGAACTTGGCTTTTACTCTCAGTTAAACAGGAGTCACTTCAGTATTTTATATATATAAAGGTCTGTCTGGAAAAAGTCCAGCCATTGTTAGTATAATGAGAATGGTTTGTGTGACATCAGTGTAACCTGGCAGTCAAGGAGAGTGCACTGGAATGTGCATGTGTGAACAGTGATGACATCACTGTACTAGTCAGTGGGGACGGTAGACACCATTGAGTGAGCATGTGTCCTGTGTGGCCCTCAAATTCAAAATGACTGAGCGAGTAGAGCAAT